TGTGTAGTTTGATGTTGAGGATTGTAGGATTCCCTCCTCCTCTATGTATCTCTGGTGTATTATCTCTAGCTTCAGGGAGCAATGTCTCAGTGAGGAGATGAAGATTTCTGTTGGGTCTTTTGGCGTGACAAGTTTATTAGCAGCAGAAGTTTTTATGTGTGATGGATCATCCTCACATTGAGTTGAGGGAGCGTGATTTGTTGGAATATCACCCATGTGAGCTCCCATTGGAGAGAATCCCACTTTCGGCCACCCAATGGAAGGGGCTCTCCCACTTACCACCCCACTTAGAGAGTGAAAGAGGTAGGTGTAGTGACCAATGAGGCCTCTTCCCTCATTGGCTGTAATAATAGAGGTTGGAGGGGAGAGTGACAATATAGGCAGAACCAAGAGGGGAGAACCATCAGAAATTGAGTGTGAGAGCTGTTGAGTTTGAGATGAGTTATCTCCTTCCTCTGCATTCTTGTATTTTTGCTCCATTTTTAGTGAATAATTCTTTCATTTCTGTCCGTGGATGTAGGCATTGGGCGAAACCACGTAAATATTTGTTCTACTGTGTTGAAAGACCAGAGTATAATTCACTGTGTGTGAGATAAGTTTCTGGGTGTCTTTGATCCTAACAGTGTTTGGCATTTTGACAACTTCGATTCTACTTTGAAGTGCTGGTTTGATTTTAAGATTTGTGGTCTTCTTCACTCTGTTTCGGAGACCTTTTATTTTCATCTATTTGGTGAGGTCTTGGTCCTCTTTGTTTATTTGTCATTAATTTTGAAAAAATTCACCTAAGGGTTGTGTGGTCATCATGTCTTGTTTGCTTAATCGGTTTTTAAAACTTTTGGTTGATAGTGGAATCGGATTTTGACCCTGGATACGTACCTCCACATTAAAAGGAATCACATAAAAATCTTTCTTCGTGCATCACACTATGTGTCGTTGTTAAATTTTTTATTTTTTCCGCATTAGTTTATTCCACCTGATTGATTCATTTGTGAGCAAATTCAAATTCTATTTTTCCTAACACAAAGCCTAGCCAAATGCCAAATTTCTCAATTTCTCCGAAAATAGTTCGAAAATTCGGAAAACCCAAAAAAATATTGACGAGATCAACAATGTTGCTTCCGCTAAATCCGACATGGACAAAGTGAACAAACAATATTGCTCTTGGCCATTGCCAATCTCAAAAATCTATCGACTGGTGGTGGCGCATCGCTATTGGGCATATGAATCTCTCGCAATTCTTTCGTGGCTTTCAGGTATTTACCTTTGTCAGCAATTAGGTAGTACAGCAACGACAAAACAATTTTGATATTGCTAAGCTCTTCTTCGCCAGGGACATGTCTTCTCATGGAAAATTTACCATCACTGCGAAAAAAAAAAAAAAACAAGAATGTCCATTGGTTTGCCAAAAGTTGTTTGTGTTTAGTTCCTCTATCTGTTTTGGCACTTTAGAGCCATGATTATGGTCTTAAGCACCACAAAACATTTGAGTCCGGCCCTCGAGTCGAAGCGTCCAAAGCCGGTTTTTAGCCTTTAAATTAAACCACTTCGAGGATCAGATGGATTCCATCCATGAACAATCCATTGATTGGGCAGGATTGGTGGACCAACATTTCTCTTCGTTAACAATGTCGCATTTCATTGAGAATAAATTGATCATTGTTGCGACGAATGAATTTAGTGATTTGTTTTTTCCTCGCTTTTGTATTAAGCAATATCCAGAGTATTCATATCATGTAACGTCTTTGCTGATAGACAAATTTAGATTCCATGAAGTACTGTGCGATTACTCTGTCAAATCTGCTATGTGGCAATGTCTTTGGATGGAACATTTACTTTTAAAAAAACTTTGTCATTTCTTTGACAATCCGATTTGATTGTGTTATTGGAAACTTAAAGCACCTCTTTAATATGTTCTAGTTTATAATAGAAGTGGTCTACACAAGTATCTTGCCGAAATTAAAAGATTATTCTTTGGAATCGGTCGGAGATGTTAGTTATAAATGATTTCTCGTGCACGATGTTTGAAAGGGAAGAGGAGAACGATATAGAACATTTTTCTTTCTAAATGTTATGAGTCGCAAAGGATTTGGAGGAGTAGTAATTTGGGGCTTAGAATTTTCTTCAGATGGTAGCCTATGACTTTTTCTTATGTTGGCTTGGATAGTTGGAGACCAGTAATCCCATAAGATAGATGCCATTGTCAAACTATTGTTGGGGTTACGCTGGGTAATTTGGAAACAACGAAAAAAGTAGTGTTGTTTTTTTTTAAAGATGTTTATGTAGACGAGCTGTCCTTATCTTGCGTTCATTGCAATTGGTTTTAAGCAAAATGATATTGGTTATTTTCTTTGCATAGAATGATAGGGGCATTACTATAACTTATCCCTGTTTAAAAGATTAGCTATTCACCTACCACCTCCACTCAGACTCATCCTAACCACACACATCATCCATTACTTCCCAATCCTCTCCTATTAAATGAGTATACTCCACCACTGTTAATTAACACAACTAGATTCAATTAATAGTGTATACATTCAATTTATTTACATGTTGTGTGGTGGCGTTACAGAGCAGGTCTAAAATCTTGAATAATTCTGCTTGCACCGGGCGGGCGGCAGCCTCGCCTTGGACCACCCCGCCGGACCTTTACACATACCTTTCAGTTTTCTTGCATCTTCCAACTCTCTTCCCTCTGACCCGGCCGATACTTGATTCTTTCCTGGAGAAACTTTTCCAGTGATGCGATCTCCATGATCTTATCCTCCACCGGCTTCGCACAGTCAATCACAAACATCGCTCCCTTCTTCTTTTCCTTCGCTCCAGCTGCTGCTCCTTGACTCATCTTCATCATGATACTGATACACATTTACAGCCCATCGTGTTGGGAAACGGCGAAGGAAAAGATTCAAGCCTGTTCCACCACCCATTGCAGCATGGATTGCAACGATATCTTTGTCGGCCTCTGCTTCTGCAATCAAAGCCTCTGCAAAGTATGTTGTGTAAGACTGAGTTTTAGCACTGGCTTTGAATTGTTTCCCAGTCGCTGGATCAAACTTGGCCACTCCATGGTACTTGTCCGCAGCTCTCTCAGCATACGGGTATCCTCGACCTTTCTCAGTGACAACATGGATGAGTACAGGACCGGTTGTTTTAGTGCTCTTAACCTCTCTCAGAATTGAAACAAGATCATATATGTTGTGACCATCAACAGGACCAATGTAATAGAGTCCGAGCTCTTCAAACAGTGTTGATCCAGAACCACTGATCATTCCACGTGCATATTCATCAACTTTTGCAGCCAGTTCATGCATAGGCCCGCCAATTTGTTTGGTTACTCCCTTGGCAACTTCTCTTAATTCTCTTAGAGGCTTGTTTGATTGCAAACGACTCAGAGTGCTGCTCAAAGCTCCTACAGGTGGTATAGGCCCGTCTAGATTAGCAGTGGGCAAAGAGACTTGTTTGTTGTCATTAAGACTAACAATCATATCGGAATCAAGATACCCTGCATTGTTCATGTCTTCATATGCTTGGCCTGCTGTCATTGCCCCGTCACCTATAATAGCAACGACATGGTTCCTTCTTTCTTTTTCTTTTTTTTTATTATTTTACTCAATCTTCTTTAAAAAGAAACCGTTCTGCACAAACTTTTCTTTTTTTTATTCTGTTGAAAGCATCCCCACTCTCCCAATTCCCCCACTCATTCTCTCTCTCCTATTTCTACTTTCCAACCAACCATTTTTTTTTAATATTTCAACCCACTCTTTCACCCCGTGCTTTGAGCAGTGATTGATTTTTTTCTTTTTTATTTTCCTCTTCTTTTTTAAAACAAACATCATCATCTCATTTTTTACACCCACTCTCTACGCACTAACATCTTAATATTCTTTCTTTCTTCTGTTTTTTCTTTTTCTTTCCCTTTCACATGCCCCAAAATTTTCCCTTAAAATAATAAATATAATATAAGATAAATAATATAAAAAAAAAAAAAAAACACCCAACACACTGTTACAAAGTTTGCACAACCCACGCCAATTATTGCATTTCAGGGATCCACCCCCGATCACAATCTTACACAAAAAAAAAAAAAAAAAAAAAAAAAAAAAAACAAACAAACAAACAAACAAAACAAAACAAACCAAACAACCACATCCACAGGCGGGATTTTCCCTTCTCTACTCTACCGCCGGTCTCTTCTTCTTGCCTCCGTCCTGGGCAGCCCTTGCCGGTGTTGCCTCTGAGTTTCCCACTCCACTGGGCATGATCACTACTCCCTGCTCCTCCCCTGCAGCATATGGCGGCCCTCCAAAACGGAACATCACGGTGGCTTTCCGCTTCAGCTCCTTGTTTTCTGCCCTTAGCACGCTTATCTCTGCTCGCGCATCCTTATACATGCGTTGGAGCAGAGCCAGTTGGGCGTTTAATTGCTGCACCTCATTTGTCCTACTCTGCAGCCGGTTCGACAAGTTTGTGACCGCCGTCATGCTTTCCACACATGCCCTCAGAGTATACTGATTGGCCTCCACATCCGACTGCACTGCCATTCTTTGCTCCACCGACCGCATCGGAAAGTTCAACGGAGCAAACTCCGGGGCGCTTGGTTGAGTTTCCAGTGCCACCGCACCAGTTCTCTCTCTCGTTGATCGGGAAAGAGGGTGAGCAGCCCGCGGGAAGATGATGAAGCCATTTTCTAGGCAACAGAGTGTCACACAGTATATCTCTCAGAACTCTCTCTCAGAAAACAGAGTGTTACAGAATCTCTCTCATAAATCTCTCTCAGACTATCGCTCGCAGGTTTTTTTTGCCTCAGTCTCAGCCTCCGTCTTATAGCCGAGGCAGCCACGCGCATCGCGTGCCTCTTCCCACCAGCCGACAAATGGGCGCGCCAACCAAGGCACTCACGTGCCTCGCCATGATGAATCCGACACACCTTTTTATGGATTGGGCACGCCTTTTGAGGGTGCCACTTTTACAACGGTCCGACATGACCCCATAAACTGTCTTCTACAACGGTCCGACACCACCATCCAGTGTCCTCTACACCGTTATGACACCTTTGTATTAAGCATATCCAGAGTATTCATATTCCTGTAACGTCTTTGCTTGATAGACAAATTTAGATTCACATGAAGTCTGGCGATTACTCTGTCAAATCTGGCTATTGGCAAGCTTTGGAACATTTACTTTAAAAAAAACTTGTCATTTCTTGTGACAATCCGATTTGATTGTGGTTATGGAAACTTAAAGCACCTCTTAAATGGTCTATGTTTATATAGAAGTGTCTACACAATATTCTTCCAATAAGATATTCTTTGGAATGTCGGAATGTATAAATGATGCCATCTGTGCACGATGTTTGAAGGAAGAGGAGACGATAGAACATTTGTTCTTTAAATGTTATGAGTCGCAAAGGATTTGGAGGGGTAGTAATTTGGGCTTAGATTTCTCAATTGGTGAGCCTATGACTTTTTCTATTTGGTTAGATAGTTGGAGACAGTAATCCCATAAGATAGATGCCATTTGTCAACTTATTGTTGTGTTGTGGGTAATTTGGAAACAACGAAATAGTGTTGTTTTTAAAGAAACACCCTTATCTTGCGTTCATGCAATTGGTTTAGCAAATGAATTAGTTTTTTCTTTGCATAGAATGATGGGCATACAGGATTTTGATACTATCCCAAAGGACAGTTTGTTACTTGAAACATCTAACCCAGGAAAGGAATATAATTCTTGCACACTGGCAAACACTGATTTTCTTGATGGTTGTTTGCAGGACTTTAAAGTCATGGTTAATGGATCATGGTGGCATAAAGATAGTAATGCTGGTATAGCATGGATTTGCTACCGTGATGATAGGGAACCTGTGGCACAACGAACTCAACAAATGCAACTTGCGTCACCTTTTGCGATGAAAGTTATGGCTTGTCACCAAGCAATATAGTGGGCCAATGAGCAAAACATGCGTAAAGTTAGTATCTTGACGGACTCATAACTATATTCTATGTAATAGAGTCAGTTCTTTTTTGTCTTCTAGTACTATTATAGCTGATATAAAGTCGGTTAGTAAGTTTTTTGATTATCTGTGTGTTTGTAAGGTTAGATGACAGGATATGAAACTTGTACATGATTTAGCCCGTTCTGTAAACAATTTTTTCACTTAATATATCTTTATGCTATTTGTGTGGTTCTCAAAAAGAAAAAGAAAAAGGAAAAAATGATTGTCAACAAAATTACATGAATTATTGACATTTAATTGATTTATCTTGCTATGTTTGTTGTTTTTTCTCATAGCCCCCTTGAGAGTAGTTGTTGTTTGCTTAAAACCTTTGACCTTTTCTAATGTGAACTGTTCTCAATTCTTTGACACGGAGAGAGAGAGAGAGAGAGAGAGAGAGAGAGAGAGAGAGAGTCTCCAGGATTCATCATTTACTATAAACAACTTGTTCTTCTCCTCCAGAGTAGTTATAGCTAATAAAGAATCAATTCTTTTTAAGGATTGAGTTTGAGATGTGTACAAGATACTAACATGAGTCACATATATTGGTGGTGTTTGTAAGGGCTGTTTTAGCCTTTTTGGGGTTAAAATTTATAAATAAAAAAATATGCTAAAATAGTTAATAAGAAAAAATGTTACATTAAATCCATAATCATTTCACTTTTTCTCTCACAAACATCACATCCAATTATAAAAAAATCCAATAATCTTCCCAAACACAAAAATTTTAGTTTCCTAAAATAATCAAAAACTAAAATAGCCTACTAAGACCATCTCCAATGTTGCATCAGATTCATCACCAAATTTGAATTTGGTGAAAAAATACACCTTTTTTTATCTCCAACAATTTCACCAGATTGATATCAAATTGAGAACATGCCAAAACTTTCACCAAAATAAGGATATGCTCACTTTTCAGCATTTTACTATGCAGGACTGTTGTGGACCGTTGTGGATAGACCCACAGAAGGACCAGACGAACGTTCGACCGATTGTTTCAGCGGTCGTCCGATTACTTGAACAAAAACAGTGCAACCATTTTCCCTTCTTACCAGGAAACAACAATTAAAGACCAAATTGAAGGAAATAAAAGCAACGAAACACACAATTGCAAGTCGAATTAGTGATTGTTGAACACAAGTAAGCTGAAACAAAGCTGAGACAGAGATTGTAAGCAAACCAAAGAAGCATACGAAGCATCAAGAGGTGAAATGGTAGGTTTTCGAGTGTGATCTGAGGAGAGAGAAAGAGAATTGAGATTGTTGACGAGAGAGAGAGAGAGAGAGAGAGAGTGAAAGTTATTGTGAAGAAGGTTCGTTTCTATGAAGATCAGACTATTGTCTGAGCTATTTTGTACCAAATGCTTCACTTTCTCCTTCTGAAAACCCGGCAACCATGGGAGTTTGAAGTTGTAGAAATTGTTCACAAATCCGTTGTTTGGATACTTCTCACCAAACCATCTTTCTGCAATTGCAAACACTGTCTCAAAACAAGTGTCTTCTTCTTCTTTGTCTTCTCTTTCTCTCTTTCTTTCGCTCTCTCTGTGTTGATCGAATCTGGTACTTATCTATATCTATTTACTCTGTACATTGCTTTGATATATTGGGAATTTATATATATATTTACTCTGTATTCTCAAAATCCTAATTTTGGCACAATGGTTAGCAGCAATGCCTCGGATCAGGCTAGTGAATGGTGAGATTACATTGGCTAGTCGACCGGCCAGTAGACCCTCCGGTCGTCTGCCCGGTCGACCAGTGATTTGATAAAAAGCAAAATCTTTCCGTTGGAACAGGCGATATCAAACTAAGTTTTTACTCAAATTTTTAATCAAATTTGGTGAAAAAAGTAATGTGCCATTGGAAATGCTCTAAAATAATAACTTTCCAAACACCCACATTGTTTACATTTATAGTCACAAACATTGTTCTTCTAGCCAAGGATCTTCTCCTTTCAAATTTTTTTATCTTCTTATCTCAATGTACTTTTAATTATTGAATTTTTAGAAAATTTCAAGACACATAAATTTTGAAACATAATTTTATAGTTGAAAGTAAATTGAAAAAGGACAAAAGATCCCCATATCATTTTGCTATGTAGGATTCTATGTATAACACTTTTAAAGTACTCATTTCACCAAAATTAGTTTGGATAATCTGGTTTCTATATGGATGTAGTATAAAAAGAATTATTTGAAACGTGTTTATCAAATTAATAATACTATACTTGTTACCTTTTTATACTATATTCAATGTATCGTCTCATATTTGAACACACCATGAATGTAATGAGTCCTACCACTCATATTTTTATCAAATAAGACATAATGTGATGCATTAAAAGTGGTATAAAAATATGGTTGCCCACGAATATTATAGCATTACTTTGATCAAATTCATCTTGAGCTGGGTTGCCCACCAATGTTCTATGAATTTTAAATTTATACCATCTATTTAAATTGATAATGGTGAGGTTGAGTAGTCCAATCGAAAGCAGGCTTTAGAAAATCATCGTCCAAATTCGAAAGCCCAAAACAGGATGTCGTCTTCAAGTATGGGCTCGAGC